TACGGGAGAAATGATTTATCGCGCTTGTTTATCGCGCTGTGTGTCCTCTCGTGCAGCTTTCGTGCGGCTAATTCGGGAAGTCTCTCCTTTGCGGGCTATTGGTTTTCTTCGTCCTTGGACCACGCGTGTGGTTAGCCGGCGGGAATGCAGTAGCTCGGCGCAATCGATGGAGTCAGAGCGTCACGCAGAACGATCCGACAATCCGCGTGGCGGGAGCGCACACTTATCCATCATCGAGTTCGCGAATTCCCGGCGAATCACGACTTCCTGTCCTTAATAGAGAAGCGCTCGCGCGATGCGATGCGGTGGTGTACTTTGCATACGGTAAATGCGCGTGCGGATTCGCGTGAGATCGCGTCCGTTGGGGAACCCGCGCGCCGGCGTTCACGATAACTCTTTACGATCGGACGGCCAATAATAATAACGTCGTCGGCGGCGTAGATCCGCGGAAATTAATTGGCATACTCCCGGACCATTATTATACCCGGCGATGACGGTTCCTTTATCCGGCGGCTCACTACGCCGTAATACGATCCTAGATTTAGCGCGTTACAATGTGGATTCCCTCTTTACGCCGCTCTTCTATTTCCTCCCCGTCTATCTTTTGTTATCTCGCCGTTATTTACGAGTCGTATCTCCTTTCGCTGTTTTACGCTGCTCTGTTCGGAGGGGACTCCCTCGCGCGCGCGCGCGCGCGTCCTCGCGAACACGAAACGTAAATGTCTGCGCGCTACTCCAATTCTCTCTTTTTACTCCGTCTCGCTTTCTCCGCTCTCGGGCCCTCGCTCGATGCGCAGTTCCCCCGTGTATCCTTTGTAGATGAACAATGTCCAGAAAGAGGAGCGGGCGAGGGGATAAGTCCGGAAAGGGTCTATCTTTCGAGGGGTAACGCCGCGCCCGCCGCTCGAATAATAATGCCCTCATTGGGTTATCAGTGGCTCTCAACGCGAGAGAGCGCGCCGGCAGAGAGAGAGAGAGAGAGAGAGAGAGAGAGAGAGAGAGAGAGAGAGAGAGAGAGAAGAGAAGTGACTAAGAAAGAGAGAGAGAAGTTGGGATCACGCGCGACCCAATTTGATTACGAGGCGCAGTATTCTGGTCGCAATTATTGCTATGGCGCTAACCACGTTACGTCCCTTTCGTTAGAGAGACAGAGGGGGGCCCCACCTGCCATGAAGTGCCTGCTGTTGCTGCGAACGGTTTCCTCCGCGCGTCGAGCAATCAGTTCGACCGAGTTCAAATAACTATTCCAATTAACAGTAAATAGTACGGTACACGTGAGCCAACTAGTCTTCTCTTATCGAGGAAGAAGACGACTCGTCGCGGTGACAGCAGCCCGTTGCTCGCGACGGCCTCTTGTAACAGCCGTCGTCCTCGTCCTTGTTGTCTGGGTGTATCGCTCGCGCCGTTAACCCCGCGGGCTTCGCCGGTATTCCTATTGACAGTCCGAATTGATTGACCGTCATTGACGTGTCGCCCTATTTCAATACGTTGTCAGGAAGTTCGAGGTTTCTGATGTTCCGTCATGAAACATGGGCACTCGACCGCGTGCGCGAGATTAACCTCGGCCAATCGAAGATTGGCTCGAAGCTTTGCATTCGATGAAGCTTTTCAGCAGATTCGGAACTTATTTGGTCTCTTCTGTTGGCTGAGGAATTATGTTATTACTATGATTGGAGAGAAAGAAGGAGTTGACGATTAATTTAATAATTAGAAAGAGAACCATTATACACAGCGGCTTTTGCTATTCAAGTTTCAAGTGTTGCTGCTGCAGCGCGCTTTAGAGTGAAATGGCCATAAATCTCGTAATCACGTCTGGTTGTAACTGATTTTATGGTGTATCCGTTTGCAATACGAGCGGCCTGAAACACGGTCTTCTCACGATTTATCAGAGTTTTAAATTCGAGACGAGCTCTCTGCACGACGCGCGATGCATCTTTCTTCGGAGGATAACGATGACAGGCCAGTCGGTACGTTTCAGGCAATTAAAATGTCCATTTAGCCAAATCATGAGTTCTAACGCGAAATTTCAAACGTATACTCGTCGGCTAATATTCGTCACGGACCTCCTTTCGAAATGGGATTTTGATTATATGATTTAACCGGTGATAAACTCCGGTCGTGAGACAGTTATGGCGATGCGAACGGCAAGTGACAAGGATGAGCGAGCTCATTATTCAGGTCGCGCGCTTGCGAAGGACAGAGACGAAGAGGGGAGGCGAGATGGTCCGGCGCTTTAAACGATTTATCGGTGCGCCTTACGTCGACATAATGGAAGGTTACATCCCCCGTATGCAACGTGTGCGTTGAAGGATGTTTGCACTGAAAATCGTGGTTCGCGGTGATCCGATCGACGCGCGCATTACGCAAGTCTAAGGGAGACAGATAGGTAACGAGAGAGGGACGGCTACGTCGGAAGGTAGGAATGCGGGAGGAAAGCCGCGAGGGGAAGAGAGAGAGAGAGAGAGAGAAGCAGGGAGGGAGGGCGAGAGAAGGGGCAGACAGAAGACGAATAGCCGTGGTTCGCTGCACCTGACTATTTATAACAAATCAATAGGTGCCGCGGCAGCCGGTGCGCGTTCCTCGCGTGCACTGTGCTTCTTGCACTCGCGAACGGTTCTTGCACCTGCGAGAACGCGAGAGCCTTAAGCGCGCGGCTAACTACCCGCGCCGGAGTGCGACTATCGCGTTTTTCGCGATAAAAGGCCTTGCCTGATCGAACGCGAAGAAAGACGGATCGGGGAAGAGAGCCGGACGAACGCAGATCGCGCGGTGCGTAGTAGTAGTACACCGTAAGAATTTTGTGTTCAATTTAATCCTTTGAACCGCACATTTTATTTCTCCAAATTTAGGATATGAGGGATTTTGAAGTGGCGCTGATTACCAATTTGAGATAAAAATTTTTAAATTCGAAATGGCAGATGCCATATGGTAATCATAAGTTTTCAAAATTAGCAATCTTCCTTTTAGAATTATCCGGAATTGACAACATTTCCTCGATATGAAAGAGAGATATTTGCGTTTTTGCAAAAAACTTGCAATTAACATATCATCAGTAGATTTTTTAATAATTTATCGTAAAAAGTAGGGCTTACAGAAAATTTTGAAAAAAAAGTATAAAATACTCTTAATTGTCCTTAAACTATTAACATTTTGATATGTCGATTCCTAATAGTTAACTCTAAAAAGATTTTTATCTGAAAAAAGTGCTTTTTTTACTTTTACTTGCTTATAATAATTTAACAATTAAACATTCAAATTATTTGCTAGTTCCTTATGTTTATGAGAATGTATAGTAATAATATAATCGGTAATGTCTGCCGATAAATTAGTTAAAATTGCTAAGAATGAAGAAAAAGTATGTGGGACGCGCTAGCGCCCCCGCTATAGTCCAGAGTTAACACATTTCGCACTTCTCAATTTGTCCGCTCTAATTTTCGTGTTAATTTAATACAAGGCAAATACGTATTTATAACATTTGGATCCTCTTTGACGAGTGTAGATGTAGCCTTTTTTTCAACCTGCAATCAATCTGGCAGACAATCAGGCTGACGATTTTCGTCGTCGTTCCAGACAATTCTTTTAATATATAATAAAAGACACGTAAGTCGTGCGCGTGTCCATACAGAGAAATGCGATTTTGCAAAGGAAAATGTCATGTCGCGTGATCCACGAATGCGGTCGAATTTAACCGCGATCGATGACTCAACGTATCCGTGTTGCACTTACATAAAAAGAAGTCACGCTTAAGTGTAAGCTTTTCGCGTTATCATCGCGGAGGCGTATTAGTCACCGAAGGCCACCGATGACAGCGATGAAACGGTCGTTTAACGCTAATTAGTAATCAATCGCGCGGAGGTTCTCGGCTTTCTTCGGGAATTGTTCTCGGATAGTAGCGGTTGGCGGTTCTCTCGAATGGACGCGCGCGAAATTGCCGATTAGCGTCGCGCACGTTAATTATTTCAAAAAGAGTGAACGGGAAAGTGGGAAAACGACTCGTTCGCGAAGACACGTGTTAGCTGGAGGCAACCCAAGAAGCAACCCTTCTATTGTCTCGTTCTAGCATGCGATTTGTTTGTTTGCGATATCGCAGACAATCACGCGATACCAACAGCCGCGTCCGTGTCTCGCCGGTGGTTTGCTGTTTTCTTCAATTACGCAAGAGGTCGCCCGACGGGATTTTAACGCGTAAACGGACAAAGCCCGAAGAAACTCTTCCGCCCGTTTCACACTGTACTGAGAAACAATATTTGAACATATTTATTTGTGAGATATAAAGTTTATTTCTGTAAAATAATGTTTGTGGATAAACTTTATATCCTACAAATAAATTTTCAAGTATTTCCACGCTGAGAAAAATAAAATAATACAAATTTTTCTCAATGTGAAAAAAAATGGAAATTTATTTGTGGGATATAAAGGTTCATAAAAATGAAATACTTGAAAGTTTTTTCTGTGAAATAAAGTTTACTTCTGTGAGTAATAATTTAATTCTAGGAAATTTTGTGAGAAATAAGTTTAATTCTATGAACAATTTTACAAATAAATTTTATTTCACAGAAATAAATTTTCGAATATTTTTCCTAGCACTGAAAAGAATTATTTAAAAATTTATTGGTGGAATATAAAGTTTGTCCACAGAAATAAATTTTATATCTCGCAAATAAATTTTCACATTTTTTTTCGGTGCATTGCATCCCGAATATCCACCCTCGTTCATGTGCATCAAGCCTGATTCGCTCTCGAAATGAATCAACGAAATTAACGAATCAACGATTAGAAATAATCGATATCGACTGGAAAACGTTATCGGGCACGTCGTGAAAAACTCCACCGCCGAGTTTTGTTCTCGCAATTTCACGTTTTTGCGTTTCTATTTACTTTCCGCGAGCACACGAAGAGAGTTAAGACAAAAATTCGAGGCTGGTATCCATCCCACAGGCGCAGGCGTAAAATTGTTCGATACTCGCGACGAGAATCGAATGCGCGTCGGTTCGTTTCAGCACGGCGAGTCGAAGAGCAAGCTTTCGATTCCGAGTCATGCGACGAAACGAGGAGTGAGTTCGGCGCTTCTCTCGCAAAGCAAGACCCACGTGTTCCGCACTCGCGCGTGCACGCGCGCGCTAAAAACTCCGACATGTTCGCCGCGATGGTGCTGCACAAGCATAACAAGCACAACAACAATGGCAACCACTCGAATCATCGCGCGAGCAACAACAACTCCGGCACCAACACCAGCAATAACCTCAGCAACAGCAATCACGTCAATAACAACGTCAACAACGTCAACCGGACGTTCAGCACGCGGGCGGTAAGTGTTGCAATTAAGACCTCTCTGTCGGAGAATTCCGATTTTTCACGAGGAAAATGATCTGTCTTTCCCTTTTCCCGCATGGAAAGCTTCTCCTCGTGGCATCGCGCGGAGGAAAAGCGTTTCTCTGCTGCGAAAGCTGTAACTTTTAACTCATAGCATGTCCCTTTCGTTTTGGCTGCTCATTTGGAAGCTCGCACGAATTTAACGAACAGGTCGGTATGCACAGTCGATATACCAAACCATTCGCTAAATCGACAGTGCACGATTTTCAGCCATGCATAAGGATTGCAGATCGCATAATTAACTCCAGCAGGAAATATTATAGTTTCTTTTTTTTTTCATATAAATTATTTTACTATGTGTTTCTAGCAGTATGTTTCTGTGTGTGTTTGTGTGTGTGAGGCTGAGAACGTCGCGTGACACTCGATCTAGGGAATAGCGTGCAGAAAAAACAATTCTGTTAGTGTAACTGAATTTCTCGTTGCCTGGTGAGAACGAGGGACCAAATGGGAAATGTGATTGTTGAAATAGAAAAATTCCCCTAGGAATTTTCCGTGCAATCAATAGTCCGTAGTTATTGCACAACCAAGTTGTAATGCAGACTTGAACATACAAACAAGTGTTTTTGGACACGCTAACAGAAATATCACTCTTCGTCGTTGAATTTTCCTTCGCTCCCTATTCGGCTGCACGAACTTAGATTTTCTTTCTGTTTACATGCCGCGTTGCCTGTATATCGCCCGACGACGTATTCATTGGAGCGGAAGGGGTGGGTTTCGCCCCTTACGATTCGATCAAGCATGTCTGCGGGGAATTATTCTCGCGCGTGCCGAGCGGAGAAACGGCGAGTCGCGCGCGAGTCGTTAGATGTAAATTTCGTTTTCCTCCAAACGCGATTTCTCTCTCTGTCTCTCTGTCTCTCTCTCTCTCTCTCTCTCTCTCTCTCTCTCTCCCTCTCTCTCTCTCTCTTTCTCTCTGGGGATGGGCGAGCCGGGGGTGAGAGGGGAGATGATACTCCCGGCTTGCTTGCGCGCGGCAGCTCCGGCGCGGAGATTTAGAGGGATTTTTATCAGCCGAGCGAAAAAGACTCGAGATGCTCTTCTCTTTCTCCCGGTCGAGCGAGAAGACGCGGAGAAAAGAAAATTTTTCCGCTCGAAGGGAAATCGCGTTTACGGCGTAAAGGGCGGGTCTTATCTCCTCCGTTGCAGAAACGAATCCGGAGGAAACGCGCGCGCGTGCAGTGATTTCGCTGACGTTGTCGTCGCCGGTGACGAAAATCTTCCGCCTGCGGAATGCGACGGCGGTTGCGAATTTTATTCTTGCTGTTTCTCTCTCTTTCTCGCTCCCTCCTTCCGTCTGTCGCCTTTTCGCTCCATTTCCCTTCCGCTTTTGACGCACCCGCTATTTTTTTCTCCCACCTAATTTCGTCGAGAATAACAGGGCGCGAGAGATCTTCCTGCCGCCGCGATATAAGTTCGCATCTCCGCTTGTTATCGTCGGCATGGCCCGACACCCTTCTCGTGGAAGAGATTCGCCGTGGAAAATTGTCGGGCGCGGTGGACGCGCGGCGACCAGCCGAAAATTTTCATTAGACCGTAATATCCGTTAATTCGAGCGCGACGCGGGAGACTCGGAGCTCGAGTGATGAATTGAAAACTGAAAATTTAAACTCGATTGTAAAAGCGGCGCCGCGGTTAAATATGAACGCCGGCGCGGGGATATTAGGCGACTGTAACACACACACGCACACCCACATACGGCGGATTATATCGCTTTAATGTTTCAGTATTCCGCGAAAATCTCTCCTATTTCGCGCGGTTCGTTAAAGTGGCGCAAGGTATTTCGGTTTCAATTTCCCAGGGTGCACTCGGCCGCAAGATTGGAAATGGAGAATTCAGCGGGCGATCGGCCATCGAAATGTGTCGGAATACGACTCGTCTCAGCTTCGGCCTGTAACGCGATGTGATAAATTTGTTTTATAGAAATGCTAAAGGGAGACAGAGATAGACACAGAGATACAGAGAGAGAGAGAGAGAGAGAGAGAGAGAGAGAGAGAGAGAGAAAGTAGGAAGAAGATAGATACACTAAGAGAAAAAAGTGATTTAATTAAAATTATAGTTATTTTTGGCTTTAATCATATTTTTTGATCATCCTTATACGAAAATAGTAGCACTAACAGAGAATTAGAAAATTGGATTTAATAAAAGAAAATTGGTTTTCCTGACCATAATTTAGTAATTAATTCTCTATGTGATTGTACATTGAGAGAAAAAAATGTTCGATTTAACTAAAATTATAGTTATCTTTTCTAATAACATGGTAGTAGTAACATGGTAGTACAACGTTATTATTAACGTTATTATTATTATTAATTATTATTATGTTTTATTAATTGAATAAAACATGGTCTTCCTGACCACAATTTATAGTAATTATTTCTTCACGTGATTATACAGTTATATACAGATACCACACACGAACGTTTTTTGCTCAGTGCAGAGAGCTCGAAAATTTGTGATATAAAATTCGCAACGCTACGCGGAACCTCTGAAGGGCCGGTATCGATTCTCGCTAATTTTAGACTGCGCTCGCGTATAAATATCGCCCAGCGAAAAATTATTATTGTCCACACTTTTCGGCCGGTTGTAAAATTGTTTCTCGTATCTCCTCTCGCTCCTCCTCCACCCTCTTCCCGCTAATAATTGGAATTGTCGTTTTAGAGTCAAGATCATCGCGCTATCGTCGCGATTTTTCGCGAAACGGGCGGAGATATCGAACGTCCCATAATGACATCCGGTTAACGCTCGTGATATCCGCTTGTTCCCGACTTTCAGCATTTTCTTTCGAATTACTGTTTGCGGTTTATTATTCCGACGGCGCGATCTGCATCCTGTTTGCCGTCCGGCGGGCGGTTCATTTTTTTAACCTTTTCTCGGAGCGGGAAGGGGCGGGGGACTACGAATGAGTTAATTGCATCTGTCGGTCCACCCCTGCCCGACCGAGTCGCCGCTGCCGGGGAGGGTTGTATGCAAATGAAGTAGTGAGATTAAGTCCTTTGTGCTATTCGTTCCCGATAACGAACACGTTGAAGAGGAGACTCGCTCGAAACGCTATAAATTAACAACTAGATTAAACCGTCCGTCGCCCTCTGTCTCGCGTCTTTATGTCGTTCTCTCGTGTTTCCCAACCTTTCCCGACCTGTCTGGACGGCGAATCAGTCGGGTCAGACATTGTCTGGCCTCTTCGAATACTTGGTTCTGCCCGCGGGAGATACGCACTGAGAACAAAATGTCTGTGGTCTCTATGTGATCATATAGAGAAACAATGGTTATAAATTATGCTTGAGAAAACCATGTTTTTTTAAGTAAATTCTGCTATAATGTTCTTAATGATAATAACCTAAATATATATGAAGGTTACTACTACCATTTTCGTGTCAGATAATCAAGAGATATGGTGGAGGCCGAAAATAACTATAATTTAGATGAGTTACTTTTTTCTCTCAGTGTGCAGCAAAAAACATGCAAAACGAACAATAAGAATTAAAACGCAATAAGAACAATCTACCATTCACGAATTTTTGCACTAAAGTTTTATCTGGAGAATCTTTTGTCTCTCGCCGGCTTGTTCACCCCTCTTTCGATCGTGAACCTAAAAGCGCCGTTCACCAACGGATCTGGAACGTTTCAGCCGTCGCAATGTTTTGTCTTTCTTTGAGAACGTAAATGCAATAAATTCGGCCCGCTTTTACGTCACGTTCCCGTTCATAGTTTCGCACCAATGCTTCATCTCGCAGATCTTTTATCTCAAGTCTCGGAGCATTTTCCCTTCCTCCGCTTCGGACTCGCAGTACCAACGAAATCGTCTCTCCCGGTTTATTTAACCTCTCTTTGGGGGGCGGAAATCGTAAGTGACTGCCCATTCTTTTCGAAAAAGAGAAAAAAGAAAGAAAAGAGAAAGAAAATAGAAACAATTGTCGACATTGTGCGATTCTCACGTGAGTCCCATCGCGCACACCTCGGCCGCCCTTCTCTCCTTCGACGCTCGTTGAAGGGTGAAAGCATCGCGCTCACGGCGGAAGACAAAGGCAGTTAAATATATCGAGGCGAAGCGAGACGAGGCTCGTTTTTGCTCAGAGGAAGGCCTGCTCGTCGGTCGGCCGCCGACTCCCTTGTTTCGCCGTACCTTTCGCCCTTCGGTCTCTCCGCGTCGTTTCTCAACCGCCGCGTAATTCGATTTCGAAGCACGGCAAGGCTTGGCTTTGTGCGACTTTCCGGGCCCTCGCCGGCTTGAAATAACTTCGTAAAGGGCTTCGATCTTTCCCTCCCGCGGCTATACTTCGGTGTATGTGTGCGTATGTGTGCGTGTGTGTATGTGCGTATACGCGCGTGTATAATACATTTATATCGAACGAACGAGATGTGGTACACGAGAAACGTCTGAAGGGCCTGAAGAATTGGGGAGCTTCGCGCGATCACAAACATAAAGATACAAGATTTGTAGACAGACAGGCCAGTAAATCGCTTTGTCTCGAAGCGAAACTTCAGATGGGTCGGCTGTCCTCGGCGAAGAGACGATGTTTTTGCGCGGAGGTATGGGCGCGCTTGTAAGAATTTTAAACGCGGAAAGCAGGTTAATTGGATAATTAAACGCGAAAAACACGCGTCGTTAAGTGCGCAAACACGGCTGACGCCGTGTAATTTCTTCTTCGGAAACGTTTCCCTCCACGTTTATTCGCACATACGAGAGAGAAGCTCATCCAAAAAGTTTAATCTTATCCTTAGCGGGATTCTCTTACGTGTATATGGCCTCAAGAGAAATCTTTAGAATTCTTCTAAAACCGAAATATCCTAAACACAATATTCGTAAAATTGAAGGAATTTCATCTTTTCCTTACTGCACAAGTCTTGTTTTTAATAGAAATCTCTGCCAAAAACAAGGCATTCTTGTAAAGTAAATATATTCTTTACTTTATTACTTATTCTTTACTTTACTTT